ATCTAGAAAAGCAAAATATGGCAAAAGTCATGTCATATAATATATATATATACACATGTCTATATTCATGACTGCATGCTCTTCGAACATAAGAATTAACTATCTTTGGAATTTATTTTTGTAAGTCTATCTAAAAAGTACAATATACAGTAATATGTATTTTTGTTTTTTTGTAAAAACAATTAAAAACTTTTTTATAAAGGTGACTAAAAAATTATTTCTATAAGAATAAAAAGAATTTATGTAAAAATTCATTTAACTAAATAGTGCAAAATTACACTTTTAGTATTCTGTATTTATATTTCTAATTACCACAAGAATTTTGTGGGTTTTTAAATTCTACATAAATCTCTGAGGAGTGCACGAATATTCACTGTTCAGTAATAACACTCTATTGAATCCATTATCTTGAATTATTACTGTCGTAAAGAGCTTGAAATATATCAAGAATTTTTTAATATCATCAATCTTTTTAATAAAACTGTAGAAAAGTTTTCTCGCCAAGAATGTGTTATAGATTTCGAACAACTTTCTCCTTTGCCTAGAGTAGACGGTCGGCATCAATTTCCGAGATATACGGAAAAAATTGGTATAAATAATGCCTCTAATTGTATATGAGATATACGGAAAAAATTGGTATGAATAATGCCTCTAATTGTATATGTTTTAACGTTAATTGCCGCCATACTTCAGCCAGAAGTAATAAGTCGAATTCTTATCTTTAGCTTATTATATACAAAGTGGTTCGTGTATATTTTGTGTATTTGAGATAAAGTGTGCCTCGGCAATTTTCGACCGCCAAACCGAGGTTACATGAGCTCACGGTCTGACGGTTTTTCCGCATTAGTTCACGGAAATTCGCGAACTTGGCTGAAACGACGTGCACAACTGGGTATGTAAAATTACAAGAAATATCTGTATTACAACTAAATTAACGATGAATTTATTGAATGAACTGGATACCTTGTATATAATTGTGTCCTCTGCGGGCTGGCAATTATTGCATAAAATAATTATTTTTTAAATAAGAAAATATATTATGTTCTAGTCTAGAACGTACGAACGTCGCAAATAATCATATGCCATTGAGATAATCGTAAAAGTCACCCACGTATTTAGCTTCATAAGGTAGAAAGAGCAATAGCTAATGTATCAATTATTTGTTTGAAATATGTCACAGATGCACATTAATGGATAGAATTCAATTTCCAGTATCGGTATATATAGATTTTTGCGAATATTTTTGGAAACTAGATTACCGATAATATGCAAAGGAAAAAATTGTTCAACATATCATAAAAAACTATCGAAGAAAAAGCAATTTTAGCACAATTTTCCCACAATTTTTTAAACATTCGATACTTTAGCACTAGTTTTTAAATGGCACTTAGCACTCGTATATGAGACAACGTAATTGAGCAATTAGAGTACTTTTAGTCAGAGTAGTGGCCACAAGTGTCTCAACATTTTATTTCCAAGTGATTTCAATTCCGTGCAATGTGTTTTGTGATTTAATGAGATTATGAATTAATGAGCTTCCCATTCCAATTTCTGTTCGCATTTCAGTTGTAACCTGGTACTAATCTTTTACCACTCAGTCTTTAAATATATTGCTATTTTTTCGTAGAAATTAACGATTTGTTATAGTATAGTATTGATACAAACCACGAAAGGCCAAAAGATTGCATCACAGCTATTCTATATAGTATACAGTGAAAACTACTACTTTTTTTCTTGATTGAAACTTAGTACATAATATCATATAATGATATTTAATAATAATAGTTAACAATCAACAAAAACACTAACATTAATACATATTAAATGTCAAATATTATAGTTATACATTTAGTGCTGCAGCATTAGAATTCAATATCTTTAATAAACATTAGTTTATACTATAAAACATTTTGAATATTCTTGGTAATACCACTTGCAATGACTTTTATATCTTCTTGTATATTTTTAGCACTGATTTTTAGCATTTATCTAAAACATTCTAATGTGTTCAATAAATAGAACTGTGTCGCTGAATTCGGATTTTGGAGGGTTATCTTTCGTATTCGAAATCGGCCATTTCAGATACGAGTTATTGCCATTCGTTCTATTCTTCTAGATTTCACTTTTTGCAGTTTATTCTGAATGCTGTTGATCCATGAGATGTTTCATTATTCTATTAAAGCATTCTGAAGTCTTAGAAATGTATTGTGCGTTAATTCTCCATAGTATTTCAATTCGTAATTGTATTTTTACCTAAATCACCTAACTCAAAATAACGAATAAGTAACAAATAATTTACTACCTTTGTACTGAAAGTGATCAAAATTTCATTTTTCTAAAAAGAAATTTATTCATTTTTATTTTATCCTGTACTATAACCAAAGGAATATTTGTTAAATTCTCCAAGCAGATGCGAAGTTCTATCTAACATGAATCCGATTCTACAAATTGTAAAGTACGAAAATATCAGGCAGAAAAATGTTTGATTAAGAGATCAGATATTTCACCAATACAAAAGTGTTTACTTTAATAATCTCAGGAATTCTTCTCTATGAATTCTTGGAAATAATTGAGACCGCTGAAATTATTCGCAAATCTGTCTTCTAAAGCATTAATTACGCAATTTATATTAGAATCTGCCAGTTTCATGACATTTAACGAATATGTGGAAGAATATGTGATAAGAAAGTATGTCAGTTGCAGGAGTATATAATCAAAAATGCAAATACAATACAAATATTATAGTGACATTCACAGGTCATTTTGAAGTCAAAGGCAAATAGGCAAGAGCATTGCATGACATGTATCCTTTCATATCACACACAAATTTTTTCATACTTTTTGCGTTTTCATAAATGTTCAAGTGCTTCCAGTTCAGCTGGAAATAGGATATATACATATATAATTTTTAATTGTGTATAATTGTTCTCATCAGTTGAGTAAATCGTTAAAAAGGCCAACAATACCAAATGACCAAAAAGTTTCATAATCTGTAAAATAAAAGCGTCCTGATCTCACTTCTGTTCATCTAATTTCATACTGTCAGTTATTTCATTTATATATTTTAATAATTTTTTAAACGGAAGATGGAATAGCTATTGAAGCCTATAATTATACTGTATATTTCTATGTGAATTTATATTCGCTTAAAATTGTATTCACTATTCTTATTTTGTCGTATTTGACAACAGTTTATAGAATAAGCGACTTTAATAGTCTAATGCATTTCATATGTATTAATCGTCACGAGAAATCACAATTTTATATATATATATGCAATAATAATCTATTGGAGAAAATTATTGGCCAATTACTTCTACTGCAATCTTATTTTGGAAAGCTTAAACATGTTTCCCTAGATTTTTCAGACTTTGTTGATCGTTGATGAAGTTCAAGTTTTACTTGAAACTTTTATATAGTTTGAAGCTTTTTATAGTTCACATAGTTTTGCTTTGAACAACAGATTACAAATTATCCCCTTTAGCAGCAAGAGTTAATTTTGCCAGAAATAAGGAATTTCGTTCTATTTATAACTACTTTCAAAAATATTTCGACAACAGCACAAATTACACACTGACAATTTATGACAAAGTTTTCTCAGACTTCTAGATATAATATTATTGGAAATTTGTATGAAAGAACCAGAGATAGTTGTTATTCCAGTTGTTATTCCTTTCGCTCTTCTTTTATCACGGAACTCATGCATGAAATATAACGTATAGTTTTCTTCTAAGTATCATCTAAATATTATGTATAAAAAAACGAGTGATAAATTCATAAAATTCCAAATTTATACTAAATCAAATAAATATCAAATTAAATAAAATTAAAATTCATCTATCTTTTACCAGATAGTTAAGGACATTCTACCACAAACAATGCAGTTACCAATCGATACAATCTCCATACACTGACATCAATATCGACATCTTGAACCTTACTGAATGCATAGCAAGAACTCATTATCAGTTACAAAGTCGTAAATGTCAACGCAAATAACCAACTCCGTATAATGAAAAAACGATAATGCACGTCAAAACATAAATGACGCTTTCATACGATCCATCAGACTCAATCGCAAGAATTTAACCATCAAAACTGAAATACATGTCACGAAATTGCTTGTAGATCACAAAACAAAACGTGTGACAAGCGTCGAATATGCTTCAATAAAAAACTGAACTAAGTTAAACAACTTTTTTGCTGAAAAACAAGTGATTGTCTCAGCTGGATCGATATATTCAACAAAAATTTTCGTGCTCTCGGGAAATATTCCAAAAGAAGAGTTAAAGAAATATGGCATTAAAGTAATTAGTAATTTATCAATTGTAAGAAATTTTCAAGAACAAGCATACAACAAATAGTTTAGTAATTAAATAAATTTTACTCCACGAGATATTTCCTATTATGAGAAGAAACATAAGGAAGTTTATCTGTAACCACTCCTACTTCTTCTTCTGTTTTCTTGCAAGTAATCTTCCAGCACATAAATAGTGTGCCTGATATATACAAATATTAGAGATGTGGAACTATTCTCTCATTACAATGCTATTCATATTTTACCACTGTTATTATCGCCTAAAAGCAGGAGATTGATATTACTGAACGGAAGTTCAGCACACTTAATTTATCTAGGTATATCATTCTATCCTAAGTATGTCGTTCGCATTCCCGATTTGGTCTGTGTTAATGGAAGGAGCTCTAAAATTGTATGATACCAAATACGAACAGTTTAAGACGAATAATTTCAGATTAATAGATAAACATTTTCCTCTTTGTAGGCAATTTGAATTTAGTGAAAGGAATTATTGGAAATGTGTGATAAAGGAATGGTGAATTAAAATATGTTTAACTATAAAAATTAGTCTGTAATACAAAAATAAATATTATAACAATAAATAATTTAAACACATTTGGTCTAGTATAGAACTAAATTATTAGAAATATAGAAGAAATATATATTGTAATTCAAAAGTTGCCAAAATAGGTTTTTTTACCGAATATATAATTTATAATATATGTATATTATTTTTATATAGTCAGTATAATTTTTAGTCAATTAAAATTACATTACCTTTGTTCATTACAACGCAGCAAGTTTTCATTTAGATTCATATTTATTCATATGAGTAGAGAAATAATATTTAAACGAAAATTCGTTTCCACCGATGAGTAATTACACTAATTTAAGTATTTTACATATTTTCCCACATTTCATAGATTTTTATGTAAACTAATGTACGCATAATCATCCATCAGTTTACTTATATTATGCATGTATTTATAACGGCAAACCATGGAAGTATAAACAATAGAGAAGTCGAGTCACCATTCCTTTTATATACACTGTAAAGGAAGCCATTGAAGAATAAATTCTATTCAAATATATTTTGTTCTACATTTTTATTCTGTTCTCATTTCAAAACATTTCAAAAGTATAAACTGATTAATTCATATCATATTATTGTGCACAAAACCGACTTTACAAATGTGTAAATTCATTCTACAGCTAGTGATCAATTTTGATATCTTTGTGAGAAGTGGCATCGTAATATCACTGATAATCATTTGTTTGTTGTTACAAAATAAGAAAATATTTAATTACTTTATTTTTTATTCTATATGTTTCAAGATCGACATTTAGAATAAAATGTGGGAAATTCGAAGATTATGCCATGTAAAACATTTTATTGTAGTCAAGGTTATATAGAATCCTAATTTATAATAAACAGGACGATGAACGTGGCCAGAACATCAACTATGCGCGCAACTGTATTTGTGAGTACATAGACGATACTGATACCGAAGTTGACCGTTTGTTTAGAAATCATCGAAATCATAAAGGAGTAATACACAAAATGTATAATTTTTCCGAAATTTTCATTTGTATAATACACCTTGAAAAGTGTTCCTCCAACTACTGTCAAAAATGAGTGATGAATCGTCGTTAAGTCGAAATATGCTGAGTGAAACTTTTGATTAAAAATAAAACAGTGATAAAATATTAAACATGCAATCTGTCTGTGACACACTGATATGTTACGCTCTACCTTATCTTTTGTGGTATGTAACACTGCTTATTTTGTATAACAAATATTTGATAACATATTTTTTGATTAGTGCAATGGCACATTGAGAAAGAAATGCAAGATCACTCGTGATAGCAAATGTTTTAATATATATACGATGGATGAAGGAAAGATCATATAAAATATATATATCGTGAGCTCTTGTTTTCTGAGGTACACATAAATATTCTTCTGCACTATCAGTTATTTGGACATGTATTTTTGTAGTCCATTCAAAATTTACTATTTATAATAGTAACTAAAGAACTGGTCATTCGTATGTTTCTATTTTTTTAGAAATACAATCAATAGTCGACCTTAAGAGATAGTCGAAAGTATATATTTTCTATATATGTTTTAACGATTACCTACCGCCACAAGCCGGCCACGGTCTAGTTCTTATCTAGCTTATTACATGTAAAATAGTCTGCGTAATCTTGGATGATTTCTACGATAGGTTTTTACTTGCCATTAATTTACTAGCCAAATAACCAATGATCTGCCGGTTTCTTCATAGAAGTTCCGGCATTTTACATATACCTATCTTACCATAAGGGATCAAATGACCCCTCGCTACTACATAAGGTATGCAAAGAATTTTTCTCGGTAAAAAATAAGCCAAGAGAAAC